AAAAAAAACGAAAAAAGAAAAAAAAAAACAATCAACGTCGTCACCTTTTTTTTTGGACAAAAAAAAAAAAAAATCCGAAAAACAAAACGTCTCCGACCTCATCTCCTCTTTTCTCCCTCTCTTCCCATCTCGACTCCCTGCCCTCCTATCCCGACCTCCCATCCGGACTTCATCCCTCCTCGGTTTTCTCGTCTCCTTTCCCCGTCTTCCGATCCCAACTTTCCCCCTCCCATTCCGACCTGATCGCCCACCGAATTCGGATCGCGACTTCCCCCTCCCGTATCACGACGTCATCTGGATCCCTCCCCCCTCCCCTCCTCATGTTGATGTCTTAAGGCCGTTCTCGTCTTTCGATCCTGACTCCCCCCCTCCCATTCCGACCTGATCGCCCGCCGAATTCGGATCCTGACTTCCCCCTCCCGTATCGCGACGTCATCTGGATCTGCCACCCTCCCCTCCTCATGTTGATATCTCAAGGCCGTTCCCGTCTTCCGATACGATCAAACACGAGCAGCAAAAGAAAAGCGAGGGAAAAAAAAAAACAAAAAAAAAAACAAATTACCTTGGTCAGCCATGACGACGCGATCTTGATGCAGCAATAATTTCCGTGGATTTTTTCTGCCAATCTCTTTTCCACTTGCGCCGAAGTCTCTCTCTCTCTCTCTCTCTCTCTCTCTCTCTCTCTCTCTCTCTCTCTCTCTCTACCGATTGTGTGTTTGATAGATTTAGATATTCCAAGCAAATTGCAACAAAGAATTCATTATCCCATCCCTGTGAATGATGATTCTTTAGAGTTTACAAGTGGACACGCAGCAGCCACGCTGCGGCAGAGGAGAGGGATGAACAGGAGGGCGGGGCTGTTGTTGATACACAGCTCGGGTTTTTTATTATTATTATTTTTTTTGTTGTCATATTCGCTACACACTCAAAAAAAAGATGACTGTGGCAGACTGTTTCCGAGTGATCAGGAGGTTGTGTGTGTATGTGTGTGTGTGTGTGAGAGAGTCTCTCTCTCTCTCTCTCTCTCTCTCTCTCTCTCTC